CAGAGCTAAAGGGGCCAGAGGAACAATGGCCTGGAGCTATGGAGAGGGGATTTGATTTGGAGGGTGACAGGTTTGGAGGATGGGGTCCCAGCTGTGTTTTTAAAAGATCAGTCTGGAAAAAACAAGTAAAAAGACAAACCTATATATATCATTGTCTGTCTGTCTCTCTCTATCTATCATCTATCTACATATCTCTGTCTACCTCTATATCTATCACTGTCTACGTCTCTCTCCCTACCTACCTATCAGTCGATCACACGGTGTCTTGACACAAAAGGACAAGTGCTCGGCTCTGCACACCAACAAGAAATTCTGGCGCTGGCAGGAACCAAATTCAGAGTGGTATCCTTGGGGAGCGCTGCTCTGAGAAATTATTTCTTTCTACTTTGTTGATTTCTTTATTGAATTCCTCTTTAAAAAGTATAAGCTGGTAATATTTTTGTAACCAGGACAACCATGTCTACCTGAGTAATCATTCGGATGAAGGCGTGGATGGTTGTTGAGGGGGGTGAGCCTGGCACCCGGAGTGGGCGCGCTGCGTGGCTGCTCACGGCTGGGCGAGCCTGGGTGCTCTGCGGCCGTCTGCCTGGGTTCAGACTCCAGCTCCGCTGCTGTGGTTTGTCCGTAGGACTGTGGGCTAAGGGCCCTACCTGTCTGGGCCTCATTTCCTCATCTTTGACATGGATGACATCACAGTCACTCCGTGCAGGGTGTGGTGTGGGTCAAAAGACCTGCCACCAGTGGAACAGGCCTGTAGCCATCGCTTGCTATGCTGCTGCTGCTGCTGCTGCTGCTGCAGCTCACCTGCATCACCTGCCACTGCTGCTGCTGCTTATTATTATTATTATTATTATTATTATTACTATCACTATTATGTGTATTATTTTTAAAGACTAGAGCAGCGGAAACTTGAGTAAACTGAACATGTCAAAAGAAACAGAAATGACGGCTGGGAAATCAACTCATGCCAGTTTGCCCAGGACTTTCCCGGTTTCAGCACAGAAAGTCTCGCATCCCTGAACCCTCTCAGTCTTGGGTAAACTGGAGGATGGTTGGTCGCCCTAAGATAAATCCTGGGACCCAGTGGTGACAGGGAGGAATCTCCAGCAACTTCCAGCTTTCGGGCCTGGGGAGCCAGACCCCACTTGAAGGAGGACACTCGGAGACAAACCATTCTGCGGGAAGCAGACGAACCCAAGTGTGGATGCATCCAACGTGAGGGAGCTCTGGCCTGTCCAGGTGGGAGTGTCCAGGTGGGAGAAGACAGGATTTCCCATGGGAGGTTCAGGACAGATGTTTCATTCTGTGTTTTATTCTGAAACATTTTAAATATACAGCAAAGTTGAAAGAATTATACAGCGAACACCCAGCTACTCCTGGGCACTACAATAAAAATATGAATATGTTTGCTTTGATACCTATCCATTCATTGACCTTGCTTTTCACCCATGTTAGTATTAGTCACAGACGTCTGCACACTTCCCTCTGAGCATTTCTGTGCTCATACCACTAACTGAAGTTTAATATTCGTTCGCAGTTCTTCTCTCTGATGTAAAATTTACATATAATGACAGGCACAACTCTGAAGTGTGCCCTGCCTGAGTTCTGATCAACCTTAAGCAGAGACTTTAAGGAAATTAATATTGTTATTTCCTTAGACAGAGGGGAAGGGAGGGAGAATGAGAGGGAGAGAAACATCAACATGAGAGAGAAATGTCAATCGGTTGCCTCCTGCAGGTGAACTGAACCTGCAACCCAGCTATTTGCCCCGACCGGGAACTGAACCCAAGACTCTTTGCCTTGCTGGATGACACCCAACCCACTGAGTGACACCGGTTAGAGCCAAGGAAATTGTTTACACATTCCCGGTGAGGTTCAAGCAAAACTGAATGATACCAGACGCAGCTCAGGCTCTACCATGCGCCAAACTCTGAGACGGGGAGCATGTAGCTTAACCTTTCTGGGCCTCAGCTTCCCATCTCTAAAATGGGAACAGTAAGGGTGCCTCTCAGAGATCTGATGTAACGGATGTTGTGGCTATTAAAGTAGCTAATCTGTGTACAAATACTGAGGGGTGCCTAGCACCTAGGAAGTGCCTTAAAAACACTCATTTTTCATATTACCCATCTGAAACAGTCAAAAAAGTTACAGAAGAAGAAATAAAAGGGCAAAGCATGTTGCTGAAAAATTTCAAAGACGGCCAGAATCTACACCAGTGTGGGGAGACAGGTGGGGGAGAGCGAGGCTGTGAGCTAAGTCCTGATCCCCTGCCCCAGTAAAGCAGCAGACTGGGAAAGAGAGCGCACTCAGAGCCTTGGAGATGACCAGAGAGAGAAGGTTGAGACTCCACAGGTCAGGCCCTGAAAAATGGCTCACGAATTTTAATCACGTGCACATGCTTTTGTATTTTTAATTTAAATTTCACTTGAAGAACAAGGACAAGATTCTGGCATGTGCTACCACATGGATGACCCTCAAGGACCTAATGCTGAGTGAAATAAGCCAGCCACAGAAGGCCTGTGTGATTCCACTTACATGAGGTCCCAATGGTGGTCAAATTCACAGAACAGAAAGCCTGTGATGGGTTACAGGGGCTGGGGGAGGGGTGGGTGGGAGTTACTGTTTAGTGGGGACACAGTTTCAGTTTGGGAAGATGAGAAAGTTCTGAAGATAGATGGTGGCAATGGTTGCTACTGAACTGGGCACTGAAAAATGGGAAAGATGGTAAATTTTATTTTATATATATATATAATATATATGTCCTAAATTAAAAAGAATCAAAAGCACAGAAGATAATCCCTAAAACACCCCTGTACCACCACATGAAGAATTGGATTTATCATTTGGTTTTAGTAGCTTCAGATATGTTTTCCTTTTAAAAATTTTATTTACTTATTTTAGAGGGGAAAGGAGCGAGAAAGAAAGGAAGAGAACAATTCATAGTTGCCTCTTGCGTGCCCCCTACTGGGGAACTGACCTGGCCGGCAACCCAGGCATGCACACTGGTTGGAAATTGTACTGGCGACCCTTTGGTTTGCAGGCCCGCACTCAACCCACTGAGCCACACCAGCCAGGGTTGTTTTGCTTTTAGTGAAAGAAAACAGTAGGGACAAAGTTGAAGGCCCCCTCCTGCCCCATAATTTCAATACAAAAACTCCCAAATAGTTTACAGTGAGAAGCCTCTCTCCCACTCTGGTCCCCCAACTTACTCCTGCTACCACTTTGGAGGGAACAAGCTTACTAGGTTTTTGTGTCTCCTTCCAGATGACTAATTGATTTCAGGCTGGTAAGTTTAAGTTGAAAAGTGTATGATAATTTGGTGAGTTTAGAAGCAGCACCAGAATGTTTAAGAGAACACATTTTCTTCATTTATATGTTTAATTTTTGAATTTATAATAACTGTTAAGGACTTCAGAAAGGTTTGCTTGGTGGAGGCATTTAACAGATGAAAGAATAAAATATATCACTTTAAGAAAGCTCCTACATTTCTAAATGGACCCCAATATGGATCCAATGCCTTCTAGGAAAGCAACGGTCCACTTTGCCAGGTGTAAAAGTAACATAATAGCTGTAATTGAACTACAGGCAGAAGGGAAACCATGTTTCTCAAGGTATAATGTAAGTGGACTATACATTTACAAAGTAACTGCAAAGATGGATTTTTCTAGGCACCAAGGCTGTCCCCCAACCCAGACACTGAATTGAGGAACTGGAAGGCTAGTGTGGCTGGAGCAGAGGTGGCGAGGGGGAAAGTGGGAGGACGTGAAGGCAGGGAGGTGAAGAGGGGGTGTGTGGGGCAGATCGCGTGGGCTTGGAGGATTGCGGGAAAACGAGCTTTTATCCCCAGAGAGGTGGCTTAGTGGAGAATTCAGAGGAGAGGAGGGACTGATCTAATTTAGATTTTGCATAACTTCCACTTGCTGTTGCGTTGTGGGGCACGCCACTGGGTAGCTGGAGCAGATGGGAAAAATTGGATCGTGGGGGGTTTTCTCCCTCTTCCTCTTTACAAAAAAGAAAAAAAAAACAAAGAAAAAGAAAAAAGAAAAAAGAAAAGAAAAAAAAAGAAAGGCGCGGAAAGCCGGAGTGCCTTTCGGACCCTTGACCTGTTTGTTGCTGCCCCCGTGTGGCGACAGCCTGAACTGCAGCAACACTCTGCAGACCGCCCTTCTTTCTTGATGAGCAAAGGCTCTTCCCAGGCCAACTGTGATCAGCGCGAAGGGCCCGGCACTGAATCCAGCCAAGGAGAAACTCAAAGAGGAGGGATAAGTGAGGTACACGGGGAATCAGAGATTTCCAGGATAACCTGATGAGCTGATATCTCAGGAAATTGCAAATTGTGTCAGCCCCAGAGAGATTTTCAGAGGAGTGGCCTCCAGCAGCATCTTCAAGAACCAGTAGCTTTTCAGGAGGACCCAATGGGAAAATTCATCATAGACAGAAGGGCGCATGCCAAGGAAGGTCAAAACTGAACTTCTGATATATCTTCCATCTCCCTAAACCTCTCCTTTCAACCTGGGTCATGGAGTTACTATTTGAGGACCACACCGGGTACCCAAACACCTGAGTCACACTGGCTGTGGCTTATTTTTATTCTTTTTTCTTTCCTCTTCTCCCTCCTCCCCCTCCCCAGCCTCCTCCTTCCTCACCTTTTTAACATTTCATGTAATACCGGTTTGGTGGTGATGAACTCCTTTAATGTTTTCTTGTCTGTGAAGCTCTTTATATGTCCTTTGATCCCAAATCATAGCTTTGCTGGGTGGGGTAATCTTGGTTATATTTCTCTGCTTTTCATCACTTTGAATATTTCTTGCCCATCCCTTGTAGTGTGTAAATTTTTGTTAAAAAATTATTAAAAAATAAGCTGACAGTCTTATGGGAGCTTCCTTGCAGATAACTAACTGCTTTTCTCTTTCTGCTTTTAAGATTTTCTGTCTTTAACCTTTTGCATTTTAATCATGATGTGTCCTGGTGTGAGTCTCTTTGGGTTCATCTTGTCTGGGACCTTCTGTCCTTCTTGGACTTGTATGTCTATTTCCTTCACCAGGTTAGAAAAGTTTTTCATCCTTTTTTCAAGTAGTTTTTCAATTTCTTGCTCTCTCTTCTCTACTTCTGGCACCTCCATGGTGTGAATGTTGGTGTGCTTGAAGTTGTCCCCAAGGCTCCTTACTCTATCTTAATTTTTTTTGCTTCTTTTTTTCATTCGGTGTTCTGATTGGGTGTTCTTTGCTTTCCTGTATTCCAAATTGCTATTTGGATTCTAGGCCTCATCTATTCTACTGTTGATTCTTCATTTCAGTTAGTTTATCTTTCATCTGTGACTGGATCTTTGTATGGTTTCCATGCCCTTCTTTATGCTGTTGAAGTTCTAAGTTCATCTACTCTTTCCTCAAGTTTGTTGAGCATCTTTATACCCAGTGTTTTGAACTCTGCATCTAGAACATTGTTTGTCTCCATTTTGTTTAATTCTTCTGGAGTTTTGTTCTGTTTTTTCATTTGGGATGTGTTTCTTTGTCTCCTCATGTTTACTACCTCCCTGTGTTTGTTTTTGTGTATTAGGTAGAGCTATGTGTCCTGGGCTTTGTAGAATGGCCTAATGTAGTAGGTGTCCTTTAGGGCCCAGTGGCACAACCTCCCTGATCACCCAAGCTGGGCACTCCAGGTGCACCCCCTCCAATGTGGGCTGTGTACACCCCCCTGTTATAGTTGAGCCTTGATTGCTGTTGGCACATCAGTGGGTAGGATTGACCCTCAGGCTGACTGACTGTGAGGACTGGCCATAACCACAGTGGTGGCTGATCCCACAGAGCAGGATTCACCCCAGTGAGGCTTTGGTGCCTTCAGAGACAACCCTTTGGGTGTGCTGTTTGTGTAGCTAGTTGGGTAGTGCTTTTGTGTCTGAATGGCTTGCTGGGTCTGTTGGTTCTGGGGCCTCTTGGTAGGGGATCCAGGGTAGGCTGAGGTCGGTTGCTGCCTGTGCCTGGCCCAGGGTCACCTGGTAGGAGCTACAAAGCAATCTGCAGTTGGTAGCTCCCTGTGCTGAGATTGGAGGCATGTGGAAGAGGCACCCTGCAACCCAAGGCTGACAGCCGCAGTGCCAGGCTGGGGCCACTTAGCAAGAGGTACAGGGCACACCAAAGCCAGGAACCGCCAGCCTGGGTCCTGCGGACCTAGGAGAGTTATAAAGAAATTCTGCAGTGCAGGGCGAGGCTGGCTGCCCATGAGACACAGCTGCTGAAAGAGCCAAGTGCAATGGGTGGAGTGGGGTCTCAGGGGGTCCCCAGGGTGGTGTGAATGGCATTCACCAGGTTAGTGCGCATTGAGAATTGGTGCCCACCTGTGCCTGCAGGCTGTGTGGGGGAGGGCTCAACACAGGGATAATGGCACATGGCCATCAAGCCTGTGCCCTGAAGCCACACAATTTAATTTCTCCCTGTAAGTCTCTGGCACCTTTCCAGCTGCTGTCCTTTTGCTGGAGCTTAGGGTGAGTGTTTATGAGTGAGTGAGTCTGTGTGTGGGCAGAACCTCCGCCAGCTCTTCCTGGCACTGGGGAGCCCTGTATGGGGCTGGGACCCCTCGCTCCTCAGGGGGGACCTCTGCAGCTGATACATGACTCCTGATTCTTAACCTCCACAAGTGGGTTTGGGGAGTGTCTGTTTTGTGTCTCTGTTTCTCCTAGCGGTTTCAACATGGCTTTTTCTTTATACCCTTCGTTATAGGAGCTTGTTCAGCTAGTCTTCAGATCGTTCTCCAGGCTGACAGTTGCATAACTTAGTTGTAGTTTTGATGCAGTCTTGGGAGATGGTGAGCACTCTGCCAACTTGACCAGAAAAAAAACAAACAAACCAAACAATTAGATTTTGAAATTAAAAACACAATAGCATTTACAATAGTATAAAAAACCCTTCAGTGTAAATCTAACAAAATGTATATAAGATCTATGTGAGGAAAACTATGAAACTGATAAAAAATCAAAAAAGATCCAAGTAAATGTAGATATTCTGTGTGTATGTACAGGAAGGCTCATTATTGTTAAGATATCAGTTGTCTCCAGTTTGGTCTATAGATAACTGTTTTGTGGATATTGGCAAATTGATTTTAAACTTTATAAGACAGAATACTTAGAATAGTCAGCACATGCTGCGGGAAAGAAAACAATCTGATTGGCACCAGATAAGTTCCATACTAACTCTAAAGCTACAGTAATTGAGAAAGTGGGGGTGGGTGTTACCGAAAGAACAGAGATCTAGATCAGTGGAACAGGATAGAGAGCTCAGCAATAGAGTAGACCCACACAAGTATAGCCACTGATCTTTGAAAATGGGCCAAAGGCAATTCAATGGGGAAAGAACAATCTTTTCAACAACTGGTGCTGGATATCTACATGGAAAGAAATGAATCTGGACATAGACTTTACAATTTTCACAAGAAGTAACTCAAAAGATATCCTACACTGGAATGTAAAATGCAAAACAAATAAACTTTCAGAACATAACATAGTGGAAAATCTAGGAAACTTTGGCTTTGGTGATGAGGTTTTAGATATTAAGATACAAGACCAAAAGGAAGATCCAAACAAAAGATAAGTTGTAAGATGAACCTCATTAAAATCAAAAACTTTGGTTTTGAAAAAATCACTGGTAAGAGAATGGAAAGTCAAGCCAGACATTGGAATAAAACACTTGCAAAACACATGAAGGACTTGAATCCAAAATATTTTGAACAGTATTTACTGAACAGTAATAAAACAACTCAAAACTATGTATATGAAATCTGAACAGAAAGCTCACCTCAGGAGATACACTGATGGCAAATCCAACATATGAAGAGGTGATTGACATTACCATTAATGTTACTAGTGAATTGCAAGTTAGGGAAACTTTTGTTAGGAGCAAATAGATTAATAATTATTATGTGTTATTGGAGAATTGGTCCTTTTCTCACTATGTAATGCCCATTTTTATCCCTCTTTTCTGTGTTTTGATGTCTGCTTTCCATGAAATTAAATTCCTGTTCTGTTCATTCCAAAGTCTCTGCCATATGTGTTGTCTTGTTAGTTAAGTTGCTGGTGGCACCCTGCCAGTGTACCTACCCATAGGCAGCAAGCGGCCCTTTTACGGGAACAGAACTCTCTGACTGCTAATAGTCCAAAGCCAAGCAGTCTTCAGCCACCATGAGAGAGTTTCCTTTCATGGAAAACCTCTTCAACATTAGCTGTCTGCTTCATGTATAGAGTGTTTTGGATGTTTCTTGATTGGGATCAAGGGTGCAAGCTTGTTGAACAGAATGCCCAGGAAGTGCCAGGGCCTCCTGTGACCATTGGTACGACAACAGCACGTTTATGTTGAGACGGGCCAGAGGGTGTTTTGAAGGTGGGTGCCTAAAATGAAGTATCGATACGTAGGGCACAGAATACAGGGGATGTTAGAAGAAAGGTCCAGGGCTAGGATGAAAGTGTGTATGTCACTGGGCACTATTGTAATAAACGAAAGACCCGTGATAATAACCACTGTGACAGAAGAGTCTGGTAGAGTAAGCCTGATGATCAGAACAGAGTAGTGGGTCCATATATAGAGGCTGGGGTGGGAGAGGTCTAACGAATGCCTCAAACAGCGTAAGACTTATTTAGAAGTTAGCAGGGTTTGCCTTAGGAAGCCATTCCAGCTCTGTGAGGGCAGTAGCCTGGGGTCATTAGGAGGCAAAAGTCTTACTGAATGCTTTTTTCTAGAACCCTCTGTTTTGCTTTTTAGAAATGGGCTGATCACATCAATGCCTAGAATGTCTTGGTGAGTCCTTGCATTTTGGCTTCATTGGTGGCAAGTCTGATGGGTGAGTAATGTCTATAAAAGGATATACCATGGGCGCAGCATGGCGAGTAGCCCTGCCAAGGGGGTGAGGGGCCCTGCAAAGTCTATTTTCCATCAGTTGTTGGGATCCCTTCCTTAGCCTGGGAATTATGTCCATGGATTATATTACCAGTAGCATTTTCTCATGTCAGGTGCATTGGTCACTAAGTTAGCCACGGCAAAGGAGGCAAGTCCCTTACATTCTGCCCTGAGCTTTAGGTAGAGAATATCTAAATAATTTCATACTTCATGGGCTCACAGGGCTATGGTTAATACCATCAGGTCTGAGCTGTTGGTATTAGTTTCAGGAATCTGAACCAAGTAATCACCCTGAGCTTTGAAATGAGCCTCTGCAGTTTGAGGTTTATTTTAATATGTGCAGTTAGGAGTCACCTTGGTTAATTATGAGGAGTGAACTTTGATGAGCTTTTTGATATTGGAACCTCAGAGCAAGATCACTGGCAATGGGCAAAGGTTCTGTAAAAACACGCAGATGAGCCCTGGCTGTAGCTCAGTTGACTGAGCACAGGCCTGCGAACCAAAGGGTTGTAGGTTCGATTCCCAGTCAGGGCACGTGCCTGGGTTGCTGGCCAGGTCCCCAGTAGGGGGCACTCGAGAGGAAACCACACACTGATGTTTCTCTCCCTCTCTTTCTCCTTCCCTTCTCCTCTCTCTAAAAATAAATAAATATAATTAAAAAAGCAGATGAGTGTGACTCTTGGCCATTGGCATCCTGTAGTGCAAGCACAGTTGCAGGAATCTAAGTGAGCTGATGTTTGGGTGCAACCTTTGATCAGGGTTGGCCTATTTGATCTGGGGACAGAACACGGCATCTCTCCATTGGACTCTGTCAGGTGTGGTGGTGGCACAGGGTCTGTAAATGATGTGAGCTCTCCTGGTCACTCCTGTGATCCCAAGGAACTTCCCAAATGGCCAGCGAGTCCAGAACATGGGGGATTCCCTCCAGAGCAATTGCATCAGTCTGAGGACAGGGGAACACATTTCCTTCTGTAGGAGGGATAAAGTAGAGGCCCCATTTTTGGCTCTATCCTGTGAGTAACAATATCTTTTCAATGAGCAGGCCTCTGTGGTGAAGTCAGGACTATGTAAGTGTATATATGAGGGGTCCTGGCTTCATGACCCAAGGCAAAATGAAAGGCTGGCTGCACTGAAGTATCAGCTCAGGGTCAGTGACAGCCTGCATTTCCAGGATTTTGTTGCCAGCGGGGGCTGCTCTAAATGTGTTTAGCCCTAGGCTGAGCCGAGTTACTGGAGCCTGAGTTCCATGGCCATCACGGGTGGTTCAGAGACTCTGGGAGCATGAGAGGAGGCTGCTAAAGCATCTGTGGTGTAGGAGTCCAAGTAAGGAGACACTAAGGGAGGGCCCATTATTTGGTCAGATTCTAGGGTCACTTGTTTCCCATTCAAAGTCAATTTTAATTTAGTTTGTGACAAAGCTAGCAGAGCTGATAATTACACAATACCTAGGACTGTTGTGGCCAAGAGGCATGTGTCCCACAATATGATTTCTTCTACTGGTCCTTCCACCCTCTCACTGCACAGCCCCCTGGTGTTACCACAGAGAAATATTCCGGAGTAGAACAGGTGTGGATTTCTAACAATGCTTCCCAGTAAGCTGGCACAGAGTGGGCTTGGGCTGAGAAACAGCTGTAACAGCCTCCAGACGGTCATGGGAAGACATGATGCTGATGCCTATGAACTCAGATGTCCCTCTTGGGAATTCTGATATGCCTTTCAGAACCATGTGATTTAAAACCACTGAACCACAGTATTTCCAAAGATTTGACCGAGGAATCTGATTTAAATGCAAAGATTCTTGGAGGCTTCTCACTTCTCTCCTGTTCTGAGATGAGGACAGGTGCACATCTAGAGGGTGTTTCCTAAACCAGGATGAGATTTCAAGAAAGGCCCAATGGGGACCAAGTTCTCCTTCCGCCGCCCTTCAGTCCTTTGGTTCTATTCCAAGGTGGTGGAAAGAAGTGTTGCACATGTAAAAATCAAGGTTTGGCAAAGTCTAGCATTCTCCTGGCATACGAGAGCATTCTTGTTGTTTTCTAGTAATCAATTCGAATATATACGCATAGTAGTTTGTGTCAATTTTCACAAAGGTACAGTAATACTATCAAAAGATGGAGAACACCCCATCACCCCTAAAAAACACTCTTGTGATGCCCCTTTGTACCAAAACTGATGTTTTAGGTCCCTGTTTGCCCTTCCCAGAATGTAATATAAATAGAACATATTACCATGAGTCATTTGTGAAATTTGTAAAAGCACACAATCTTGCAGTGTTCTTGAGTTTAAAATTCTGACGGTGCTCAGTTAGGTAGTGGCACATACCAGGCTTTCAAAACCCAGACTCCATCTCTATGAGCTCTGTGAGTTTGGTGCCAACCTGTTCTGTGCAGAACTTCCTCATTTGTAAGATGGAAGGAAGGACTGGCACAAGCATCAAGGGAGAGACTAATAATTGTGAAACAACAACCTATAGTGCTAACAAAACAGAGGTTGGCACTAAAAAATGGATGAGGATCAACTTTCCTTTGATCTTTAATAAAACTCAAAAGCTGTTCTTTTTGTGTCCTCCCAGGTCATATCGTGTGCTGGAAGGCAAGCACATACAAATGGTAGCTGTGAACAGGAAGGTGGGCCACGGGGCTGTGGGGCTGAACAAAAAGCTCGCGGCTACTCGTCTTACAGAAAGGCATCGCAGACTTCCCATATCTCCTTCTATGTTAAATTAGGACCATACTCAAAATGATACCCTCTCTCTACAGGGCAACTCACTTACTCCTTGGATGACTGCCTTCTAAACATCTGAAGCTCTTTTTGGTGTTTCTAGGAAATCATAGGGGATTTGCCTAAGTATCCACTTATTCACAAAAATAAATTCAGGGTGGGCCAGAACAGTGCAGATAAACATAACCTTTCTTCAAATTGGAACTCTAGGACTTAATGGGGCCCGTATTGTATGAGTCAGTATAGAAGCAAAATGAAAATGCCAAAAGCTACTAGAAAACTTTTAAGTAGTTAAAGGTGAATGAAAATTCTCTTAAATGATAAACACAAAAAGACACTGCACATATCTGTGGCCTAAATCAATGGGAAGTTTCAAGTCCCCGATACCCATGTCCAAACTCATGACCACATTATACAGGAAACTGCAAAAAGTAAAGATGAACCATGTCTGTCTCTTTATAGGGAATCTTTCCTGTTAATCACAGGAATGCAGGACTATCTACATTGCTCCCCTCTATTTATCTCCACACCCAAGCAGTTCCTGAAACAAAATGATAATGGCACTGTCAGTCAGAGGCTCCCACCTTCACAGCAAAGATACATACACACCCCAGCTGCCCTAATAGCTCACATTCACATTCCATCAAAGCCCTCACTTCCATCTTATAAACCAAAGCGTTACCATTTGTTAACCACCTCTCCTTCCTCACAAAAATATGAGCACCAGGACTTCGAGACTTGTTTTGTGCCTCTCTATCCAAGTCCTACAGGGCCTGGATTATTTTTGCTAAACTGGGTATGTTTTGAATCTCCAGTGTCTGGTAGACGAGGCACGCTGAAAAATTACAATCAAGAGTACAGTCTCTGAGCAAGAAGGTTGGACTATAATAGTGGTCCTGTCTTCCCCCCTTGATAGGCTTGTGTTCTCACACAATTTACCTTGATGTACAGGTCTCATCTGAGACATAAAGGAGACAACAAAGGTTTTATGTACTTTACTAACAAATTTATATATTTTTACTGCAGTACTTTATAATAAATAGTGTCCACCCAATACACACAGGAAATAATATACCAGTACTTGGATAATGAGTAGACAAAAGCTGTCCCAATGGACTGGGAGCTGGCCCTGCATGCTCTTATGGTATTAAAGAAAAAAATGTCAAACACCTCCATCAGCAGACAAAGCTATTCGGTGATCATGATGAATTGAGACAAAAATAAGGATATTTTGTAATCTTTCTAAAATTACTAAGATTGCTAAGAGAACCATTTCAAAGCATAGCAATGACCAAAATTCCCCACCTAATACAATGACTGACTAGAGCTTCTTATGAGCTAGGTTTATACCTCTACTACAGTTTTTGCCTTTTAGAAAACACAGTGCTTATGGTTGTCAATGAGAGAATTAAGTTCACTTCCTCACAGCATCCCATACTTCCAGAAATGTCGTTTCCTTGAATAGCAATCAAATCACCTGTTTGCTAAAAGCCCAAATCATGAATGTCACTTTGAGTACCCTCTTAATGACAAATCCAGTCATTTAGGGTTTTCATTCTTTTTAAAATTATTTTTAAAGATTTTATTTATTTTTTAGAGAGGGGGAAGGAGAAAGAGAGGGAGAGAAACATCAATGTGGGTTTGCCTTTCATGCACCCCACACTGGGGACCTGGCTTGCAATCCAGGCATGTGTCCTGACTGGGAATTGAACCAGCGACCCTTTGCTTTACAGTCTGGCACTCAATCCACTGAGCCATACCAGCCAGGGCTTACATATATATATATATATACACACACACACACACACACACACACACACACACACATATATACACATACATATATACACATATATACACATACATATATATACATATATACACATACATATATATACATATATAAATTTATAAATATATATATTTATTTTTTAAAATTTTAAAATTTTTAAATTATATTTATAAATTTATATATAAATTATATACATTATATAAATTTATAAATATATTTAAAGATTTTATTTATTTTTAGAGAGAAGGGAAGGAAGGGAGAACAAGGGACAGAAACATCAGGGTGAGAGAGAAACATTGACCTGTTGCCCCTCATACATGCCCCACCTGGGGACTGACTGCACCTGCAACCCAGGCATGTGCCCCAATCAGGAATCAAACTGGCAACCTTTTGCTTTGAGGGATGATGCCCAACTGAGCCACACCAGACAGGGCTTCAGTCATTCTTAACAGTAAAATACATACCACTTCTTGTTGACTGCTGGTGTGGTCCTGGTGGGTTTTGACAGGACAGTACTGACAAAACAAATGAATGAAAAATTAGTTTTAAGGTAAAAACTATAACTATAAAAGGATAAAAAATATATAATTTACCTAAGGAAAAAATAACTAGACATGTATAGACAAGATAATACTGAATGAGAATATAGGAATATTAACTGGACAAAATACAAAGTTGATCTAAAAATCCATAATTACAATGGGATATTTTAATATGCTATGTGACAAGGAAATGAAAATCACAGTTGTTATATGCAAACTGTATAAACAGTTAATGAAATATTTCTAAGAACTTACAAAATATTTTGTTTGACAAAAAAGCAGTTTTTTAAAAAAAGATTTTATTTATTTATTTTTAGAGAGGGAAGGGAGGGAGAAAGAGAGAGAAACATCAATGTGCAGTTGCCGTGGCCTGCAACCCAGGCATATGCCCTGATTGGGAATCGAACCTGCGATGCTTTGGTTCACAGCCCACACTCAATCCACTTAGCTATGCCAGCCAGGGCAAAAAAGCAGTTTTTAATGACAAACACACAACTGAAAATGTACTGCAGACTAATGTACAGCTGTGAGCAATGGGAAACATCCATAATTTGCCTGATATGAGAAAGGCGCTTTTTCTCACAGGGATGGAATGAGTTGGAGAAAGTACTGCACAGGGCAGCAGAGGAACAAATGCCAGCATAGTTCTTTCAGACTGCACCACTGCAGCTGTCAGAGTGGAATCAGGAACACGTGGTCACTAGCAGTATCACCCGAACGAGGTGATAAGACCTCATATGAATACACTTTAGAGATGATGGAAGTCCAAACATCAGAATACTCCAAACTATGAAAAGTCAAGTTAGTTGCCTGGTGGACACACAAATGATTACAGGAAAACTGAAACAATGGATTTTCACGTAGACCTTAGGAAGACATGCGTGGAAACCTATATCTCCGAGAAAATGGGAGTTATGCACTTGATTGCGGTTTTGGTTATTGGCAGACCAAGAAGTCAGAAAAATAGGCTGGAGGCAGGTGTCCCTGAAGCTCCTGCGCATCTGTCTCCCTGCCAATATGGTGGGTCCTAAACCTGCCTCCTGTACTTCTGTATTCCAAATCTCACCCAAGTGAGGCTTTTGGTTAATTCTAACATGGAACCACAAAAACAAAAACAAAAAACCAGATCCTAGAAAATGTCATGTTACCCAGGTGACAAAACACAATTTTAGGAGAGCCATCTCCAATTCTACATTTTATTGTTCAGTAACAGGTCTATCCTAATGTAGTCTATTATTCAAGGCCTAGCATGAAGGAATGACAATGAGCAAATAGCCAAAGATGTAAATACAGTTAACCCTTGAACAACATGGGTTTTAAATGCGCAGATCCACTTATTCACGGAACTTTTTAAGTGACCTACACAGTCCACGCAACAGCTCCGCAGCTGGGAATTTGTGCATGCAGAGGGCTGACTGTAGTTATACTCGGATTTTCAACTGTGCAGTAGGTCGGCACCCATAAACCCTGCATACCATTATTCTATCGGACTCTACGACAAACCCTGCAATATTTACAAATTTATGCCATATTTTATTAGCAATAAAAATGGAATAAGGGTCTTCTTGCCAAAACAAAAAAGTAGATTTTCTCATACAATGGACTACACAGGGTGTGACACAAATAATGCTCCCTTTTTATTACAAAATCATAAACATATAATTCTGTAACATAACAGTATCACACTCAGGCACACCATATGACATTTTAGGTGACATGGTCAAATTGCTGTCTATCTTGCGTGAGACATTCACGTACCCTACCAACCACACTCAGGAAAGCCTTACTTCTGCTGGACCCCGTACAATGGTCAAGGGATATACAGTACTTGGCCAGGAGGCCAGTAGGAAAATCCCAACAAATATCAAAATAGCATTTATTTATTTATTGACAGCTCATTTACAAACAATGGAAACATAAAAATTAAACCTACCTGTTTATTAGAAATACACTTTAATTTACCTATAGATCGGTCTTCAAAATGGAAAGAGAAAATGTTAGTAACTGATCTAAAAAGAAAATACCTATTAATCTTATGTAGTGTTGCTTACACAGTATTGCCTCAATGTTCATTTTTGGAAGTAGTAAACATCCACAGTTCAGAGGTCCACTTTAAAAATGAGGCACTGATAAAGAGAATATATTTACGACTTTTATAATGGTTCTTTCATATAGTTTTTCTGGAACATTAACATGGATTAATTTGTATCAGGCTTTCTCATATTACTTATATTCATAGGGTTTCATTTCAGTGGGAGTTTTCACATGTAAGGATGAAGGCCAGTTGATATCTTTTCCACACTGCTTACAGTCAAGATGTTTTTATGCAGTATGAGTCCTTTCATGCCTCCTGAAGGAACTGGGACGACTAAAGGCTTTCCCGCATTCTTTACATTTGTATGGTTTCTCGCCAGTGTGCATTCTCACGTGCCCTCGAAAGGTAGTACGGTAAGTGAAGGCCTTCCCACATTCTTTACACTCGAAGGGCTTCTCTCCAGTGTGAGTATTTTCATGTGTACGAAAGGATGTGTAACAACTGAAGGCTCTACCACACTGTTTACATTCATAGGGCTTCTCTCCAGTGTGAGTTCTTTCATGTATTCGAAATGAACTGGGAAAATTGAAGGCTTTCCCACACTCCTTACACTTATAAGGCCCATCTCCCGTGTGCACTATCATGTGTGTTCGAACACTCGAGGGAGAAATGAAGGCTTTCCCACATTCTTTACATTTATAGGGTTTCTCTCCGGTGTGCTTTCTCATGTGTCCTTGAAAGGTTGTGCGATAAATGAAGGTTTTCCCACATTCTGTACATTCGTAGGGTTTCTCTCCAGTGTGGGTTCTTTCATGTATTCGAAAGGAACTGGGCCAGCTGAAGGTTTTACCACACTGTTTACATTCATATGGCTTTTCTCCAGTGTGAGTCCTTTCATGTGATCGAAAAGAACTGGGACAACTGAGGGCTTTGCCACATTGCTTACATTTATAAGGTCCATCTCCTGTGTGTGTTATCATGTGTGTTCGAATGCTTGAGAGAGAAATGAAGGCTTTACCGCATTCCTTACATTCATAGGGCTTCTCTCCAGTGTGAATTCTTTCATGTATTCGTAAACCTAGAGGAGAACTGAAGGTTTTGTCACACTGTTTACATTCATATTGTTTATCTGCAGTGTGAGCCCTTTCATGTCTTCGAAAAGAACTGGGACAACTGAGGGCTTTACCACACAGTTTACATTCATATGGTTTTTCTCCAGTGTGATTTCGTTCATGTATTCGCAAACCTAGAGGAGATCTCAGAGATTTTCCACACTGTTTACATTCATAGGGTTTCTCTCCAGTGTGAGTTCTTTCATGAGCTCGAAATGAGGTGGAACAACTGAAGGCTTTCCCACATTCCTTACACTTATAAGGAGCATCTCCAGTGTGTGTTATCATGTGTCTTCGAAAGGTTGTGAGCCATGTGAAGGCTTTCCCACACTCACTGCATTCATAGGGCTTCTCTCCAGTGTGAGTCCTTTCGTGTCTATAAACAGATTTGTGGTAACTGAAGGCTTTCCCACATTCCTTACATTTATATGGTTTCTCCTCGTATTCATGATATTCATAAGGTTTGTGTCCAGTGTGAGATCGGATGTGCCTATTAAAGGATGAAGGACGCACAAAGACTTTTCCACACACATTGCATTTAAATGGTTTTACTACAAAAGAAAGGTGCTCGTTCAGATTAAAATTTAGAATCTGGCTGATGGTTTCTCCACACTGATTACCTTCTTGGATTTCATAGAGTTTTTCTACCATATGACCTCTGTAAGAAAATGAAAAGCACATTATTAATGATTTCTTTGTTAATTTCCTATTAATTAGTATTGTACTGGAATCATATTTTTATAATTTACAAAAAAGTGAAGGTTTTCTGACCCAGGACTTGAGCATAGCTATCGTGAAAACAGTGATATTAGTATATGAGGTTAAAGGTAAGTAAATTTGAAGTAGGAGTTGTTTTATTTGCTCATTTAAAAAAATCATGACATTCTAGAATCCTCATGTGGAACACTGCTGTCTATTGAGTGACTCACCTTAGTTTTTCTCCTTGGGTTTTGTACTGATTTTCAATGTTACGATCTTCCCATTTTTCCCCTAAATGCAGACCTAGAAAAACAATTCCACATCATTATATATTGGAGAAAAATGATTAGATTCTAGGTACATGATGAGTTGTAATAATGCTTAGTTTATTTACTAATATATTTTTCCACATGTTGAAACAATATTGATGCGCAAGAAATATTTGATCTCCGTCAGAGGAATGGTGGCATGAGAGGTCCCCTTGAAGTTTCAACAATTTGAACAGCTATAATTCAAGAAAGGATTCCCTGCTCACTGCACGAACACGTTGGTGAGACCAAGTAATGAAACATATGAAGGTGGGCAAGTGGGAGCAAACTGAGGGGGTTGGAAGGGAGAAGAGCTGAGATGGTGCCAGGGATGAAGCCCAGAGCTCACAGCCCGGAGAGGGCAGGAATCAGATTGTCAGTAGTACTCCCTTCAGCAGGGAGGACCAAAGAGATTCAGTGAGAATCCTGCAGGAGTGGGCAGTACATGCTGCAGGTGAACTCAGTGACCTGGGCAGGGATGAAGCACAGAGGTACAGCCACAGTTGTCTGGCAATTGGCATTCCATAGAGACAAAGCCACAGAGCCTGGCTGCCTGCCCTCACCCTCCCTTCATCCTCCAAGAGCTAGCAACAGGCCCTAGAAGTAGCTGTAGCAGTGAGTGTTGGGTTGCAGAGCACATTATCTGTAAACCTGAGAACTGGTACTACAGAAACATTTTCCTTTGCAACTAATCCCAGGGTTAGGTGGAAATACAGAGGGGAAGCTGCTAAGATCTGCCAGTTACCATTACTGGGACAGCAAAGCAACCAACGCAGCAGCCAGCTTCCCCCAGCTCACCCTACCCCCACTCATCACAGCTGCATTGCCTTAGTATTGGGCTGCAGGGGACAGCACTGAGATTTCATTACATTTCCCTGCAGGGTTAGTCCCTAAAATGAGGTGGACACAGGGGAAAGCCCACCTTCCCAGGGAACACATTTTCCACCACTCTGAAGAACTGTTAAAAGCTGGAGCAATACCAGAGATCTAAAACCTTGTGCTTCAGTGTCACCTACTAGAAAACAATAGAAACGCTTCTTATCAATCTACTAGAGGAGTGCCACTCATACATACATGCCTAGACAGAGACGGAATCCATCAAATGCCATGAATAACCAAGGTTACAAGGCAGCTAAGAAAGAAAATGAAAAATCCTCAGAAAATAAACTTAAAGGCATGGAAATGTGATTTAAATGACAGAACATTCAAGATTGCAATTCTGAAAAAACTCAACAAGTTACAAAAAAACACAGGCAGTTTAATTAACTCAGAAATAATATGAGTGAACAAAAAAGGTATATTACCAAAGAGATTGAAATTTTAAAAAAGAATCAAATAGAAATTCTGGAGATGAAGAATTCAATAAAAGAGATAAAGAACCAGTGAGGCCCTGGCTGGCTTGCCTCAGTGGACTGAGAACTGGCCTACTTCCAATACAAAAGGTTGCTGGTTTGATTCGCAGGCAGGGCACATGCCTGGGTTGCGGGCCAGGTCCCCGGTTGGTGGTGTGTGAGAGGCAACTAATCTATGTTTCTCTCACACACTGATGTTTCACTCCCGCTTTCTCTCCCTTCACTTTCCCTTTCTCTAAAAATAAATAAATAAAATCTTAAAAAAAACAACAACAGTGAATTTAGGAAATAGAGCTGACCAGATGGGGAAAGAATTAGTGATATGTAAGACAGAAATCTAGAAATGGCACAGATAAAAGAGAGAGACTTAGGAAAATTAAAGCACTCTACAAGAACTATATGACTCCCTCAGAAAGAGCAATATGGAAATAATAGTCATACCAGAAGAGAAGGAGAAGGGAATGAAAAGCCTAGTCAGAAAAATAATCAATGAGAACTTCCCAAACCTATGGGAAAGAGCTAGATACTTGAATCCAAGAAGCAAACAGAACACCAAATTACCTCAATTCAAAAAGACTTCCTCCGATGTGCATTGTAGTAAAACTGTTAAAAATTAACAACAAAGAATTCTTAAGGCAGCCAGGGAAAAGAAGACAGTAACCTATAAAGGAAAGCCCATTAGATTATCATTGGAGTTTCAGCAGAAACCCTACAAGCTAGGAGAGAGTGGAATCAAATATTTAAATTACTGAAAGAGAGAAATGCCAGCCAAGAATAACATATTCAGCAAAGTTATCCTTTAGATACAAAGGAGAAATAAAGACTTTGAGGACCTGAATTGCAGGAAATACTCAAGGGGGTTATTCTACATGAAACAAAGAACAAAAGGTCCCAAACCTACAAGTAAGATCACTAACAGTCAGACCCTGTCTGCCTGTTATAACCCTTTTTTAGAATAGGGTACTATACACTTAAATATCACATAAAGGTTAAAGGAGGTGTGACATTAAAAAAGAGGAAGAGCCCTGGTTGGGTGGCTCAGTTGGTTGGAGCATTGTCCTGTACACCAAAAAGTTGGAGGTTCAATCCCTGGTCAGGGCACATACCCAGCTGCTTGTTCAGTTCCCAGTCAGGGTGCATACTAAGGGCAAATGATCAATGTTTGTCTCTCTCTCTCTCTCTCTCTCTCTCTCTCTGAAATCTATAAGCATAACCTTACGTGAGGATTTTAAAAAAAAGAAGATGAAAGCAATAGCTACTGCAAGTTGGAAGTAAACTCACAGCATAAATAGGCATTATTTGTGACGACAAAAACATAAAGGGGGAGTGGGTAAAGGTCGGAATTTAGTAAGGCAGACAGAGATTAGATGCATTCAGAAGAAAGAGGACTAGTATATGCATATATATGGAACTTTCTTTTATATAAACCAAATGGGAATCAAACACAAAAAACCCAAAACAGATGTGTAACTTAAAAAAAGAGGAAATGGAAGGGAAAAGTATAGACCACCACCAAACAAAAACAACAGATAGAAACACAAAGGAGGAGAATCAATGGAAAACAGAGTTATCAGAAATCAAAAGCTAAATTAAATGGCTGTAGGAAATCCACATATAATCAATAATTACCCTAAATGTTAATGGACTGAATTCACCAATGAAGAGGCACAGAATAGCAGACTGGATTAAAAAATGAAACCCAACCATATGCTGCCTCCAAGAGACACATCTAAGTTGCAGAGACAAAGGCAGATTCAAAGTGAAAGGGTGGAAAAAATATTCTTCAAGCCAATAACATCCACAGAAAAGCAGGTGTAGCCATACCTACACCTGACAAAATAGACTTCAAGATGACAAAGGAAACAAGAGACAAAGAATGGCATTTTAAAATAATAAAGGGGACACTACATCAAGAAGATATAACACTTCTTCTTAGCATATGTGTACCCAATCAGGGAGCAATGAAATATATAAAGCAACTACTCATAGAATTGAAGGGAGAAACAGACCAAAACACAGTAACAGTTGGAGACTTTATTCCCTTGACAGCTCTAGATAGATCATCCAAACAGAAAATCAATAAAGAAATATTGGCCTAAATGACACAGGAGACCACATGGACATAACTGACATTTACAGAGCCTTTCATCCCAGGACACCACCAGACTATACATTCTTCTGTAGCGTACATGGAAAATTCTCAAGGATAGACCATACATTGGGACACAAAACTAGCCCCAATGAATTCAAGAAGACTGAACTTATACCAACATATCCTCCCATGACGATGCTTTGAAATTAGAAACCAACTGCAAACACAAAGCGAGAAAACCTAAACATGTGGAGATTAAACAACATGCTACTAAAAAATGATGGGGTCAAAGAAGAAATAAAAGGTGAGCTCAGAAGATACATAGAGACAAATGAGAATGACAACACAACATATCAAAACTTCTGGAATGCAGTGAAAGCAGTAATTAAAAAATGCGTGTTCTCTAATTGACAAATTAAGTAAGAATGTCATTATCCCTACCTATTGAGGCCAGGTTCCTGTAGGTTTCTCGCATCACATTTCTATAAAGTTTCTTCTGTGAAGGATCTAGTAAAGCCCACTCCTCCAGGGTGAAGTTCACAGCCACATCTTCAAAGGTCACCACTGAGTCCTAAAACATTGTAAATATGTGTATAGTAGGATTCATGAGTCTGACAGCACTGGAGATTTATATTCAATTTATAGGAAGGTTACATATGATTCTGTGGTCTCTGAACATTTGTTTTATGCCTTGCTCAATAGAAACCTACTCTGTCCACACTTACTTCCTCATAAATTTAACAGCATCACAAATTTTACAGCACATGCAATTTATGCATTTTTGCTGTGATCACTTTAAATGTTATTGCTCTCTACTGGCAGGGCCTACAGCATCTTAGAGAAATGACAGAAATTCTACACAAATGAAACAAATATCATTTTAAGCACATCACTTCCTTGTGAGAAAAACTCACCTCCTCATTGCCTACTACTTACTCAGCACTCCAATATGTACAGGATCAAATCTACATCAAGTTTTAATGAATAAAAAACAGTGAAAAACTGGAAGCTTTTTCTTCTGTTCCCACCACCAAACATGAGTCCAGGCAGCCTGTGTAAATCCAACTTGTAACAAGGATTAGCTTGCCATATCAGCCTGAAATATCCTAGGCCATTAAAAGTAGCCAGATCCAGCTGACTAAATGAAAATATTCTTGTAAAGAAGTAATATTTTTAACTTTTGTAATGTTTATCACAGACTCAGTTTTCCCATTCTTTGTTCTGTTCCATGGAACTGGGAAGTTATTCAGAAGTTAGGGCTCAGACAACTCAGCATGATACGGCATGCTGAAAGAGCAAGAAAACTTAGACGTCCACAAACATCCTACACTCACGAACCTCGGGGCTGCTTCACACCAGCTTTTAGCATACATCCTGAGATAATAAGGTGCTCGAAGAGCTCTTTTGGTCAAACCCTAACAGTGTTCCCTGGCTCTTGCTGACCTGGAAGAACAGGTTAAGAGCTGCACATTGCAGTGGAGTTCACTGAAGTCCACAATGGCTTGATGGGCTACCTGTAATTATAAAACTTTATTAAAAAATTCCCAAGGACAAACACAAATCTTAAAGGTCTTCTCTAAAAATGGTAAAAGCCTTAGTCATCTGAACAAATAAATTTATTTCAACTGTAATAAATTAGTGAAATTTTTGCCTTATTCTACCTGTTTCATGGTTGAACTTTTTAAAATTTCATTTATTTATTTATTTTTAGAGAGAGGGGAAGGGAGGGAGAAAGAGAGGGAGAGAAGCATTTACATGTCAGATACATCAATCAGTTGCCTCTTGGATGGCCCCAATAGGGGGCCTGGACCATAACCCAGGCATGTGCCCTGACTGAGAAATGAACCTTCTGGTTCACAGGCCAGTGTTCAAACCACTGAGCCATACCAGGGCCCATGGCTGAAATTTTAAAAATGAAATGATCAGATCTCTGGTTGCATCTGACTATATATGTGGATGTGTGTCTACCTTCAGAATATACTAACAAAATTGATATGTAAAAAGCTCTGTTTAATTAACTTAAACTAAGCCAAATATTTTTTCAGGCTCTGGAATAATACTCGGTATTGAAGTTCATTAAAATAGGCAAGTCTTTAGAGTTACCAACAAAAACAACTTAGAATGATGGATGACTTGAACATCTCATAAAATTTTTTTGTGGGTAATCTAAACATATTATTGAGAACAAGTAAAATAAAAAGACGTAGGTATGGACAAAAGTTTTTAGGTGAAACTTTTTAGCAACAATTATATGTATTTAAAAATAATTTCCTAAAATATTTTGTTAACTTGAAACTTTGAAGTTTTGCTAACTAAATTAACTAATGGATTTAACTGAATATTTAGATCATTTTCAAGTAAGATAAAATACTGAAAATACTTTCGGGCTTCTTATTACAGAGAAACTAAAAGAAATTTGGGCTTGTTACTAAACATGTCACATTAAAAGACTGTACGATTTATTTATTTTTAAATTTATTTTTGGAGAGGGGAAGGGAGGGGGAAAGAGAGGGAGAAAAACATCAATGTGTGAGAGAAACATTGATTGGCTGCCTCTAACAGCCCCCAACCAGGGACCTGGCCTGCACTGGCATGTGCCCTGACTGGGAATCAAACTGGCAATCTTTTGGTTTGCAGGATGACAGTCAACCCACTGAGCCACACCAGTCAGGGTGAAAGACTGTACAATTAAAAGGGGCACATGTTTCTTGAAGTTATGAAATATATGAATAAATTTGCCAATCTAAAGATAAAAACTGATGTAACAGTTCACAATAGCTTACTTAATTTTCATTAGAAACTGAGATTTTTAAGGGTGGAAATTCCAATATATGTAATTACTAGTAATTTCATATATGTAATATGAAACTACTAGGAATAGTAAGGGAAACAACCTTGAATGCAAGAAAAAAATATGTTTTCAGTAAAAGAAGGTATAAGGTATGGAAATGCATTTTTGAGGGAATTATAAGGGAAGTTGTACAAGATTTGGGATGCCTAATGCATAGTATTAGAACTCTTAGCCAAAGTAATCAGGCAAGAAAAAGAAATAAAAGGCATCCAAATTAGAAAGAAGTAGAACTGTTACTATTTGTAGATGGCATAATATTATTATAGTATAAGCCCTGATAGCTTAATTTTTTTTTTTTTTTGTAATGAAAGTGCCAGACGTAAAGCTTTGATTGCGGAGGCATCCATATCAACAACTTATCCACTTAGAGCAAGCTATCTTGAATAAACACATTGCCAACCACGCAAAATTAGATAAAATGCCAGGCTACCTCCTTCCACTAAAGATCCCTTGTTTTAGAAATCTTAGTTGATTTTGAATACTGATCATTGGAGCCATTTGTTTTTCCTCTTCCTGCACTTTAAATGGTCACTTTTTTGTTTAGAATCCACCAAAGCCCTAGAGCTTGCAAGACCATAGGTCTCCACATTTGATCCCCACAAAAAGAGGGACCCCAAGGTCTGTGTATGTTCTCCCTGACCCTTCATCTGTTACTGAGCTATGTGGCCGCAGGTGTGCTGTATAATTTCCAGGGCCTATCAGTAAGAGACTCATATTTTTTCAAAGTGTTCTGGTGGTTATTCCCAAAGGGCATCTTGCAATAATAAGAACCACTGGGGCTGGTACAACCACAACATTGGTTATTGATAGGCTGAGACAAGCACAAAACAATTATATATAGAAAAACCCTGAAGAATCCACAAAAAGACTTTTAGAACTAATAAGTGAATTCAGTAAAGCTTTAGGATACAAAAATCAGTCTGCAAAGACCTGTAACATTTATAGACACTAATTATAGACACTAATAACAAACTATCAGAAAGGAAGATTAAGAAAAAAAAATCTACTTGTAATTGCATCAAAATGAGTAAAATAGCCTGGGATAAATGTAATGAAGAAAATGAAAGACCTGTGTACTGAACTATACAAGACATTGACCAAAGAAACTCAAGACACAAATAAATAGAAAGACACTCCATGGTCATGGATTAGAAAAACCAATATTGCTCAAATGTCAATACTATGAAGCAATCTACAGATTCAGTGCAATTTCTATCAAAATTCCAATGGCATGTCCCACAGAGATAGAACAATCATAAAATCTGTACAGAACCACAGGTGAATCCGCATAGCTAAAGAAATCTTGAGAAAGAAAACAAATCTGGAGGCACCATGCTTCCTGATTTCAAACTATATTACAAAGCTGTGGGAACTAAAACAACATGGTATTGGCATAAAAACAGATATATAGATCAATGGAAGAGAATAGTCCAGAAATAAACCCATGCTTCTATGGTCAATTAATTTATGACAAAAAAACCAGGAATATAAGGGGGAAAGGACAGGCTCTTCAACAGTGTTAGGAAAACTGGACGCCAGATGCAAAAGAATGAAACTGGACTACTATATTACACCATACATAAAAACTAACTCAAAATGAATTAAAGATCAGGAGATCAACAGTAGCCTTATGCTACATTGTAATGCCCATATCATCCACCTCACTTCATTTCATCATGTAGCCACTGTATCATCTCACATCATCACAGGAATGGTAAGTGTAGTGCAAGAAGATTATTTTCAGAAAGAGAGAAACCATTCATATAAGTTTAATTATAGTATATTGTAATAATCATTCTATTTATTATTAGTTATTGTTAATCTCTAAGTGCCTAATTCATACATTAAACTTGCTATACTCTATGAATTCCAAGAGTGATCTTGGATGCCTTCAGATGTTTACATAGAAAATCATGTCATATTCAACAAAGTCTCGCCATTTCATACCTTAAAAAACGACTAGACTTCTGAACTTCTGGCCAAGATGATGATATAGGTAGATATACTTTGCCTCCTTGCAAATCCAAAAGAAGGACAACAAATTTAAAAATAAAAAATAACCAGAACTTCCAGAAAATCAAACTGTATGGAAGTCCAACAGCCAAGGAGTTAAAGAGGGCACATTCATTTAGACTGGTAGGAGGAGTGGAGTCGGGCAGGCAGGGAGGAGAGGACACCTGGTATGGAGGTGGCTGGAGGAGCGAGTGGGTGAGGGGGCGGCTGGCAGACTGGGCGGTCCCACATTTGTGTGCGAACAAACCAGGAGTAACAACTGGGGAGAGAGACAAACCACGCTTGCAACCCAGGATTCCAGTGCAGGAAAAGAGCCTCAAAACCTCTGGCTGTAAAAATCTGTGGGGGTTGTGGTGGGAGAAACTCCCAGCTTCACAGGAGAGTACACTGGAGAGGCCCACAGGGTCCTAGAATGTACACAAACTCACCCACCTGGGAGTCAGCAGCAGAAGGGCCCAAATGCTTGTGGGTAGCGGGGGAAGTGACTGAAAGCCTGCTGAGAGCCGAACAAGTAGCACTGATCCCTCTCAGACCCCTCCCCCACAGACAGTGCCACAATCCAACTGCATGGGTTGCCCCGCCCTAGCAAATATCTAAGGTTCTGCCCCTTACAACATAACAGGTGTGCTGAGTAAAAGAAATAACAGCCCAAATGAAGGAAAAGATCAAAACTCCAAATATAGAAATAGGTGATAAAGAGATAGCCA